AAATTACAAAAATCCAGAAGATTGCTTGAATGCTTGAATCCTATCATGGTATAGAAAAGTATTGGACAGAAATGGCATTCAAAAGTATTGGATAATTTCTACTACACCATACAGAGTTTGAATTATTTCAATCCTTTTCAATTTTTCGTTTCTTACTGGGTTCGCTCACGGGCCACGGCCAATTCTGCCTATTTTACTGGGTATGTAATCGATTCGCCGTACTGCAAACGCATAAAGTACTATAAATTGATAAATAGGGTAACTGCACCAATTGTCGAGGATAATAATTTTCTTTTTTAGATAAATAGTAGGGGAGACTGGGGCGAAAAGTTAAACTGACAAAACCGTTAAAATTATTATCTTTCGAACGGGAATAGTTAGAGCATTGCAATTTTAATTATAGAAGGGTGTTATCACCCTAAATACATGTCCGGAGTTGTGTGCAATTCTGTTCATTTTTGTGGTGTCTATATTGAATGTTTTTTTTCAACCTACTTTTGAAAATTTTTTCGTAAAAGAAAATATCAACTTTTAAGTATATTTTTTGCATTTATTCTCACCGCGATTTTTTTACTTCATTATTTAGGTCCCCTGAAGAGATACCTGACAGTATTTGCTAAATATCTTTAGTCAGATTTTTTATATTTGTTTTTAAAGCCAAAAACGCACCCTGGGGCGAAAAGTTAAATAATGGGTGGGGCGAAAAGTTAAATGTATTTTTACATGTTATTAAAATTTTTTTTTTATTTTTCGTTTTTTTGGGTTTATTTGTTTAAAAATTATTTATTTAACATTGGGCAAGTACTCTGTCAAAAAACAAGACCGTTCACATGAAATAAACCAAAAAAATTTTTTTTTTTTTTTGAAATTTCAATTTTTTAACTTTACAACTATTCTAAAGCTTTTGTTAAATAAACAAAGATCTTTTATTTACTAAATTACTTGTTTACGTATACTTTAACTTATCTACTACTTATCACCTATCAGAAAATAGTTTTAGTAAGCTAAAAATAGAATTTAACTTTTCGCCCCAGGGTGGGGCGAAAAGTTAAAAAACACAAAATTTTCAAAAAAGGAAAAAACATGTATTTTTTGCGAAAATATCAGGAACTTTTTTATTGAAAGTTGTAGGGGACAAGTTGCCCTACAATATTGATATACAAATATTTGCATCTAAGCGGCTTATATTGCCAAAAAAAAATCATTTATGCAAAATTTAACTTTTCGCCCCAGTCTCCCCTATAATATATAATATTTAAGAACAAAAAAAATTTCTAAATAATCTTTGTATTTTCAACTGTATATTTATATATACAAAATTCGTAGCGATTCTACTAAAATAATTATTTAATTAATATTATAATTCACTGCTGTGAAATTTACACGAATCTCCATTTTCTTAATACTTCAGGTTGATTAAAACAGATTTTTAGAAATGCAAATTAAACGTATTTATAATGACTTTTTGTGTACAAAATTATTATTATAATTTTGTACACGAACTAAATTAATTTTGTATGCATGTTTTTTTGTTAAAAAAAAATATTTAATATTTTTTAAAAGCAAATCATCGGTATTTGGTTCCTTTTTTTTGACAGTTCCATTTTTCGAGGTAATGACTCGAAAATTGGTGTAGTCACTTTTTTCGCTGATGCACCATTTATCGATGGTTAAGTGTTTATTTACTAAACGTCAAACATAAATGCCAAACATTTATAGGTACAGAGAAAAAGAAAAAAAATGCTCCAAAAATTTACAACCAACAGAAAATAATCAACCAAAAAAAACGAGGAAGACCGAAAAAAAATTAATAAAAAATGCATTATTTAAAACTAAAAAATTTTGTACTATAGTTTAATTATAATTAACCATTATATTTACAGTTCGTAGGTAATAAAAGTTTATTTTATTCGTTTACAAATTTAATGTGACTTAAATTAATTTATTTTTTCAATTAATGTCTGATTAACAAAATTGATTAAATTTAATTAACTTATATTTATAAAAGTTTAAAAAACAGTTAAATAATTTTCTGTCCTGTATCATCTACTAAAAAAATGTTTTATATCGATATTATAAATTATTCAATTATAGTTAAATAAATATATTTGTTTTCTGGTAATGTTCTATAATATTTTTATCGAAAAAATAAATATCTACTCGATTTTCTAATATCTGTACAGGTTAATTGTTAGGTTATATTGGGTTATATGTTTAAAAATGTCATACCCTCGACAATTGGAACAGACCCTCGAGAAATTAGCACAAGACCATCGACAAATGGTGCTTTTGCTCGATTGACTTTTAAATATATTTTTTGCTTAACAATTTAGTTTATATTAAAAAAATAAATATGAATATTAAACATTATTAGATCCTTCGTCCAAATATCCAAAAATCAAATTTTAAAGTGCATTTACTTCCGAGAAAAAAAATGTCAAAGTCACATGTTGCCTAAAACCCTCGACAATTGGTACAGTTACCCTACAAAATTTATATTCATTTCACTTGAAATGTTAAAATTGCAAAACTTTTGAGTAATAAAAATCACGTTAGAGAACCGAAGCTCGTAACAATAATAGACCCATAATTAATTCTATATTGTGAAAAAAGAGCTATTCACAAATTTGAAGTTTCAACGGTATACCTACTTTACCCAGGCGCGAAAGACCAGTGCTGACGATGGGTTGAAACTTGACTGAGTCTTGAACGCCCAGCGTGGGTAACCCAGAGTTGAAGCAGTCTTTATATCATTGTCACTCAATATTGGTTCAGCATGGGACACCAATGTTCGTCCCATGCTCGATTTAACACTCGGTCAATCTTCGTCAGTGGAGCTTCAACTTTATTCAAGCTTGAATCAATCTTGATAGTTTATTTATTACCGTGTGCACTTAACACTATTAGATATAAATATTTATAAATTATTTAATATTAAAATATTATTTCTGATAATTTTTAGTAATTTTTTATACTATTTAAAAATTATTATTCTTATTATTAATTATTATTAAATAATATAATAAGTATTATTATTATTATTAAGATATCAATTGGTAAATAAATATTAATATTTATTTAGTGTATAATATTTATATTAATTATATAAGATTCATATCAATAAAGTTAAATTATTATATATTATTTTTTTTTCTTGCACAGTGTCAAATTATTATTTCAAAGTTCAAGAGTTTCGTTTATCTGAAAAATTTTCAGTGAAAAAAATGTTCATTAGGTAGTAATAAATATTTATGCCTAGTAGTTTTACACTAGAATTAACTGTTTACTGAATATTATCAAAAATATATTTTTCGTCAAACGCGCGCGACTAAACACAAATAACCTTGAGACATTACAGCGCGACGTTGCGATTGTCGTGCTCCCACCATCCCATCTACACAATGCTTTCCCCTCATGACGTCACAGGCGGGGAGTGCATTGAGTAGATGGGATGGTGGTATTTGTGTTTAGTTGCGCGCGTTTGACGAAAAATATATTTTTGATAATATTCAGTAAACAGTTAATTCTAGTGTAAAACTACTAGGCATAAATATTTATTACTACCTAATGAACATTTTTTTCACTGAAAATTTTTCAGATAAACGAAACTCTTGAACTTTGAAAATAATAATTTGACACTGTGCGAGAAAAAAAATAATATATAATTTAACTTATAAAATTATCAGAAAAAATATTTTAATATTAAATAATTTATAAATATTTATAGATAATATTGTACAGTGCACACGGTAATAAAGAAACTGAATATTGTAACAAGATTACTGAGACTTGAAACGAGTATGGGACGAACATTGGTGTCCCATGTTGAGTGACGGCACTGGCATTGATATAGAAGGAGTTTACATCGTAAGCCTTAAATATAAGCCTCCGCGAGCATAAACGGATATGCCTCCATGAGGATATACTTGCGTCTGCGCAAAGTGTTTGCCTACAGCTGTGTTGTGAAAGAGTTTGCCTTGACCACGTGTTCGCGCAGGCGCAAATATATGCTCCTGGAGGTATATCCGTTTATGCGCGCGGAGGCTTATATTTAAGGCTTACGGTGTAAACTCCTTCATAGTAGATTAGGCGAGAAGCCTTCCAGCCTTCTGTGGCCGAGCGGTTTAAATGCGTGCGTTGAGAACTTCCGGTATGCGTTAGGGGCGAGGTGCGTGAGTTTCGATCCCACATGCGAGCGAATATTTTTCATTCTTTGTTATAAGCGTTTATATAAAATAATAAAATTGTGTGTTGTGTTGTGAATAAAAAATGTGAACATGTTTATAAATAATGTTAAAAGTCTGTTAAAAGTCAAGAAAAAAATGTAACGATTAACAGAAAAATTGTCTTTTTTTACTAAAATTATGTTTTTAAAATTACTATTCAAATGATATTTATTGTTAGTAATATATTCTTATTTATATGAAAATAATATAATTATTACAAATAATAACTTATTGTCATTAAATATATATGTATATATACGCACATGAATTAAAATAATAACAATAATATTTATTATTATTATTAATAATTCATATATTCACATTATATTGAATAAACGTGAGAAACGAGTAAATTTGGGAACAGTGGAAGCAGTCTTGTTTCAGTCCTGCATTAGGCGTCCGCAGCATTGATTGAGCATTGGTGTTCAATGCTGAATCAAGGCTCGCGCTGCAGTCTGGAATCGGTGTTACATTAAAGCTTCGATCAGTCCTGCTCTCGCTGATTCACTCATGCTCAATCAATGGTTGACCAATGCTCGGCCAATCTTTATAAAGCCTGAACTCGGCGTCACTTCGCGCCTGGGTATATTTACCCACTATCTTTCGGTGGGAAACTGCAAATAAAAAAATGAATTCAGTGAGAAATAGTCACAATTCATAAAACATCAGAAAACTTCAGGAAACGTCAAAATAATCACAAAACATCAAAATTTCTGAAATTTTCCCATTATTCCTGATTTAATTTTTAGCAGGGTAGAGAAATATGACAAGAAATTAATTTGGCAATATAATTTATTTACAAAAAAATGAGGATCACATTTTCTTATTCTATCACAATGTGATATTTATAATCTACATACCCGATTTTACCGTAATGCTATTATTTTTTCATAAGTACCGACAATAAGTACCTACATCAGCCTTATGATTGAATAAATACTTTTTAAATAAATATGTAAATAAATAAATAATAAATATTTAGATACAATTAAAAATGTAATAGAATTCTTTACCGACATGAAAGAGAAAATAATTCCTCTTTTTCTTATCGTAAGCCTATGTCCACAATAGGTGTTTTATGTCTGCACAGACAGCTGAGATGCAGCGAAAGTAAGGGAGTCAGAAAATTCAAATCTATGTTTTTTCTCTCTTACAATTTTAAAGCTTAAAATTATTACAATTGAAAAAATTAATATAAGAATTTTTAATAAACCTTTTAATTTAAGTGAACAAGTTTTTAAATTAATTAAGGGGACTTTCTGGTCAAGGATTTCAGAAAATTCGATTTTTCTCTTTTTGCTGTAAAATGTTCCTTAGTATCAGAAATTTATCCCGTTTGAATTTTTAATTTATGTAAAATATTTTGCTCGGAAACTGTCTCCTCATTTAGAAGACGCCACCTACATTAAGAGTTTAAAAAAGTGTGTTTTTACAAATCCTGCACCAAAAGTCCCCTTAATTCTATTTTATTCTTTTACTATATTTAAATGGCATTGAACTTTTGTAAGCCCATTTATTATGTAAAATAAAATTAATGATTTTTAATCTTTTATCCTTTTTGAAATAATAAGTTTGTTCTCTTTCTTTATATTATTTCAACAATTGTAATAATTTTCATTACCTTTTTGTAGGACAGTATGGAGAAAATTCCCATACAATTCTTTAAAATACTTATGGAAAACCGCTTATAATAATAAAAAAATGTAAAAACAAGAAAAATTTGTTTTACACGGGAAGTTGAAATTTTCAATTTCTATCTTGAGGAAGTTTGGATGAAGATTTTTTATAAATATGAGTGTAAAAAGGGAATTAGGCAGCAACTGGCACAGGTGGAGGGCGAAGCATCGATCTCGTAGCGGAAGAAAGTTTTTGTGACACTAAATGAGCAATATGTGAAGACCTTTTCCAAACAAATTCTCGAGTCCTGTCATGGTCATCAGCACTTTCCACTCGAACCTTAAAAAAAAGAAAGGAAAAAATTATTTCTCTTTTTCTATGCACTTCTCTTTTCTCTATATAATTAACGCGCTTTAAAAAAAATATACATTTCACTGAGAAAAAGATCACATTTGATCGAAACAGTTTTTAATAAAAATTTTCTCCAATGAAACGTTTTGAAATATAAATGACTTTCTCATCAGGGTGTCTATCAAGAGAGTACCAAATAAACAATAAGAAATAACAAATATGTATAAAAATTAATAAATTAAACCCTTTCACATTACAAATTAAATTTTTTTATTAATATTCCGAATGTAGGGTCATTTGGGATAAATGTAAATTCTTTTGCATGAATGCATTGTTGATTGATAATGCATCATATAACATCAAAAATCAACTTTTGGAAAATATTATTTATATGCAGACCTGCAATTGACTCACACAAAGATATTTATGATAGAATAGACACAATCTACTTTTCTATGTATAATTAATTATTAATCTTTTATGCATTAACATTCAATCAAATTTTTTACAGAGATTCAACAATTTTTAATACAATTACTTCCTCATAGAGGAAGTATTGTAATACCAAGATTTTTCGAGTTTAATTTTTTGACATATCTTTATGTTATTTGACCTCAGGAGTTCAAAAATTACATTTTTAAAAAATGTCATTCCGTATGTGTGTGTGTGTAAACATCACATTTTCATAAATACATATCTCGAAATCATGAAGAGCTTTTGGGTTGAATTTTTTTTTTAAATTGTACACAGAAAAAAAAAGTCTTAAAACTGTGAAGGACTAATTTTAAAATCAGGCTTAATTTTAGTCTGTATAACGATATTTTAGCCTCATGATTAACTTAAGAGCACTGTTAACACGCCTTAATCTTAAAGCAATACATATTTATGACTTATTTTAATATGTAAGTCTTAAATGTAGTCTCAGCGAGACTAGTAGAAACTTTAAGAACTCAACAGATAAAATGAAGTCGAAATGTAGACTAGTTTTTAGTTCCCTAGCGTCTATAGTCCTCTGGAAGGGGAGACGCGCTTGGGCGTGATCAGGTGACGTGTCATTAGTTGTCATGGCTTTGCCTTGAGTGTACATGTTTTCTTCGTCCATTGTCACCTGTAGATTTTGATACTTTTGTGTACCGAATAAATAAATAAGTTTTTATTATATGAAGTGCAAGCATAGTTACACTGAACTGAAATGAATTTGATTCAATTAACCGATTTCTTGTCTATTATTAAATAATGATTACTTATAAGGTACATGTTAACAAATGTCATCATGGAAGTAGATGAAAAATTGGACTTCAATAATAGAAAATAAATAAATAATTTCATTTTATTATTTTAAATAGTTAATGTAACTTTTCTTACTGATACTTCTATTATACAATCTGTTACTGGCATCTCCTGAAATTGCAATAAAAATAGTTAAAAAGCAGTCAAATTAACCAGGTTTTCTTTATGTGTAAAACTCTGACAAGAATTATGATGCATATCTTCTTCTAAACATTTTTTATTTAGAAAATATATTTAATAACTATAATTTTATATGCAATAGAAAAATAAATTTGAACTGTATTATTTACTACTTTTAAGTATTTAAGAAAGCTTTATTTTAGTCACTATTTTGACTTGCAGAGTAAATTGAAGTTTAAAAGGAAACTACTTTTAAGTCCACTTTTTGGCTATCGGCTATTTTTAAGACTACATAGCGACTTCATTCAAGCCTGAGTACCGACTTTTTTTAAGACTCTTTTTACAAACTAATTTTAAGTCTAGGATGACTACTTTTTGTTACATCTTAAAATTATGTCGTTTGTAGACTTTATTCAAGACTATTTTTTTTCTATGTAAAAATGGTTTAAAATAATAACGGGAGCAAAAGTAGAATAAGTGACTTAGAAGCAAAAACAGATTAAAATGATTGTGTAATTTCGTTATAAATTAATTATAATAATTACAAAATATTAATTCAAATAAAATAAGTTTTTTTATTATTGACAATATTTTTTAAGCATTAATATAATTAATTTACCAAGAAATTACATAATCATTTTCACCCGTTTTTGCTCTCAAGTCACTTATTCTACTTTTGCTTCCATTATTATTATTATAAACCATTTTTACTATCAGCCCCTCTATTGTTCGTCATTTTTCGTTCGGTATTTTCAAAATTAAAAAATATAATATAATTATAAATAAAATAAAATATAAAATAATGATAAAAATATAACAGAAATAAAGGATTGTGTTAGAAAATAATGTAGATAGTGACGCTTTAAACAGGAAAGTGGACCGACAAAGCAATTTTAAACGTACTATCTACCACATAGTGCACTTTTCATGTATTCTCCATAATTTTTGGATAAAAAATGTGCACTATCTACAGTTTTATTAATAAATAATTAAAATTAATAAATTTTTTTTGCACCGATGAAAAGAGCGTGTCCGAATTAGTCAAGAACATAAGTTTGTTTACAACATTTTTAATTTTATTAAGAGATCCAGATGCAAACGCGTTTCCTTCAATATCTCCGATTGAGCTAAAATGTAGATAGTGTCTTTTTAAAAAGGACGGCAGATAAAGTGAGAGTATTTTCTGATATACAGTCAGGTCCCCATACTGTCCCTGGCGATTTTGTTGAACGCTAGTGGTACGTTATAACGTACCACTAGCGTACTGTTTGCGTACTATGACTTATTTCTCCAAATTAGGAATAAAACAATAAAAAATATATAAATAAATGAATAAATTGAATAGAATGAAAATTAATGAATTAATTTACAGTGTTTAATTGAGATGAAAGCGGTGATTGTTATTAAAAAAAATTGATTAAGTTAAAGTACTTTTCAGTGCATATATAGTAGGGTGTCCGTTATTTCCCAAGTTAGCTATTTTCATTTGGGTATCGTCAAAATCGTTTCTTTTTGACCTGAAAACAATTCTTGAAACTAGAAAAAATTTTACGATGCCGTTTAACCCTGCCTAAATAACAATACTTTTCCCATTTAATTAACATGGGATTTTTGCACTTTTTAGAAAATAATTTTTATTTTGTTTATAATACTCTTTGACTAACCAACAATGCTTGATTTTGCTTCTATTATGATTCCTTTAGATAGAAAAATTTTCATATTATCGCGAAAAATTTATTACACAAGTTTTAAAAAGGTCAATTTCATTTTTCTTGATTTTTTTGATTATTTTTCTAAATCTACTTATTTATTAATTTTTATTCGGTATTTCATTGACAGTTTCTTGTTTATATAAACATTTTCTATGAATTTCAAGCGGGCTAAACCATTCTGGCAATCAGGAAAATTTTTTTTTGAAAAATTTATTTTTACAAATTTTCAAATTGTTAACGTTCACGTCAACAATGTTATAACGATTCATTTGTTTTTAAAAATGCAAGTTAACAATTTGGAAATTTGCAAAAATAAATATTTAAAAAAAAATTCTCTTGATTGACAGAATGGTTTAGCCCGCTTGAAATTCATAGGAAATGTTCATAATTATTTTAAGAATTTGTAGTAAAAATTTGATAACAAAAAAAGGTGATGTTTTTGAGAAAATTGATCTTATTATTTTCAGAAAATCATCCCCTATTTTTATAATTTTAAATATTTTTTCAAATTTCAAACTGGATTGTGAAGAGGACAAGACCATCTACAAGACACAAGAAAGGAAATTCAATTTTACTCAAAAGAAAAAAAATGACAAGCAAAACAATTTTTTTTCTATAACATGAAGTTAGTCGACATGCCTGATTTGAAATGGATTTAGTCTACTGTGTGATTCTTGGATAGTTTATGAATTGAAATTATTGTTATGGTCAAATTGGATGTATAAAACAAGAAACTTTCAATGAAATATCGAATAAAAATTAATTAATAAGTAGATTTAGCAAAATAATCAGAAAAATCAATAAAAATGAAATTGACCTTTTTAAAAATTGTGTAATAAATTTTTCGCGATAATATGAAAATTTCTCTATCTAAAGGAATCATAATAGAAGTAAAATCAAGCATTATTGCAGGAAGGAAGAGTAAGGATGAGATCCCATGTGAACAGAATATGTCGACCGAAAGCAGAAAATCATGAGTGCAAAAGAGATATATATAGATATTGTTGTTCTTTTCACTCTCATGATTTTCTGCTTTCGGTCGACGTATTCTGCTCACATGGGATCGCACCCTAAGGAGACCGAACTCTGTGTAGAACCTCCAATTAAGTTGATCATGCGCATAAGCTGTGTTGTGTCTCTGTTTCTCGTAAAAATTGTGCGAGTGAGATGTAAGTTCTAATGTTTACATTTAGCCGGTCTTAGTGAGATACATACATATACAATACATTTCGTTTTAATAATTATTTATTTATTTTATTTAAAAAATGTGTTGTGTGCCAGGATGTAAAGAAAGAAAAAGAGTCTAAAAACATTAGTCTCTTCTATCCTTCTACGGTATGTAAATATACTCTAGTTATAAACACAATTCTTCTTAACCATTTTCGCAAAATTTTTCCCTTTTCATAAATATATTATTAAATTATTTTGAAAATCTAAATAATATCACAATTGCAAATAAATAAATTTGCTTTTAAAATTAACACTGTTTAAACTATGTAATATTTACCTTGACATAACCACACTTTGTATCTATGTCAACACTGAACTTTAGTTCAATGCGCATGATCGACTTAATTGGTGATCAACTAGAACACAGTGAGTCTGTCACTTTTCGTGCATATTTCTCAGACATTTGTAGAAGCAGAGTTCGGTCTCCTTACTCTTCCTTCCTGCATTATTGGTTAGTCAAAGAGTATTATAAACGAAATAAAAATTATTTTCTAAAAAGTACAAAAATCCCATGTTAATTAAGTGGGAAAAGTATATAGCTAACTTGGGAAATAACGGACACCCTAATATATTGTGTGTTTTAAATAGCATATTTAGTGAATAATGAAAAGAAAAAATTAGGAAAACTTATTTAAT